GGGAAGGGTCGGCCCGAATGAGGTGCCCCCGGTGGGAGAGCCACCAATTTCGCCCCTGTTGTCCAATAAGTATTCCGCGTCCATGCCACCTCGCATGGGCCTTCTTCCCCTTCCGCCAGTAGGCCACCTTGCCCCCTGGTTGGAAAGCGTAAGTAACTCTGCTGCGGGAAGAGACAGCACGACGGAGATCCTGATCGCCCCGTGCCTGGAGCAAAGCGTGCATCGCCTGTTGGCGCATCTCTCGGGATCTGGCACAAGCAGTATCGTGCAACGGGCCAGTCGCGCTCACCACATCGACAGCGTCCTGAAGCAAGTATCCAAAGAGTCGGGGTTCTTGGCCCAACACGTGCTGATAGGGGGAATAACCATCTACCCACAACATGCGCTGCTTGGCGTCAGTCGTCGCATCGACACACTCGGCCCACTCGTCATAATTCTGTGGTTGGACTTGGGCGCCCGAATTATGGGGGGCAACTCGGGCCCGGGGTAACTCGGGTTCGGGTTCCGGAAAAAGCGGGCCCGAGTTATCCCTGACCCGAGTTACCTCTGATGATTCGGGGCTCTGGGCGCCCGAGCTATCCGGGGCAACTCGGGCCCGGGATAACTCGGGTTCAGAATCCCGAAAAAACGAACCCGAGTTAGCCCCGACCCGAGTTACCCCTGATGATTCGGGGCTCTGATGGACCGTCTCCAGTCGTTTCTTGAAGATACGCTTCCACCATCCCCCGTGTGATTCAGTTTTTCCATTTTGCCACTGTCCCTCACAATCTCGGTCTGTTCGAGCTCCAGGGGTCCCGCAAGGGCGGCCCCAATGTTGGTCTTACCCGCGCCCGCCACGACACGCTCGGCAAGACCGGCCCAACGTTTCCAGAACTGTCGGCAGGCTCCCCGAATAGTCCCGGAGTTTTCTCCCTGCAGCAGTGGCACCATAACCTGGAAGGACGACGCGTCGTTCACAATATTGAGAGCGGGGACCGTATGTGTAGGTCCCTTCCAGCCTGGAATGTTGACCCCGTCTATTCCCACCTGTCTGTTAAATTCCAAAATCCGGTGTCCCGAGACGGTTCCAGATGGTTTCGGCATTTTGCTTTCGTCGCAGATATCACACCGAAAACTTCGAGCTAGCCGAATGGCCTCATCGCGCCCCCCACCGCGTCGCAGGATTCGAACCATCTCCCGAGGGGCCGCATGGCCCAGGTTAGCGTGTAGCTTCCGGAGAGCATTTCGGATGTTCTGAGCATTCGCAATGGGGGAAGGAGGGTTATGCTGGCCCTGTTCGGCCTCGGGATCCTCCAGGCCCGCGGCCAGGCAGCACTGAAACAGTTCGGCCTCTGGCAGCGGCAGGTGCCCGCTTTGCGAGGCCTCGCGCAGGCTGGCCTCCAGGGGCAGAAGCGGCAGCTCCTGCTCAAAACTCAGAGGAGCGTCCACACGTGCGGCCCAGAACTGCGCCAGGTCGTCGGTGCCTCGTAAGATCGCTTCACAAAAGTCCGTCGTGTAGAAACCTGCCCACTTACTCATGGAAACACCGTTCGACGTTCTTTCGACGGTCACATGATCGTGGTTCCCGGGACAACGTTTACCCAGGCATTGAGCAAGTCGTTGGGACGAAACCAGCAAACGCGTTTGTTTCTTCATAAAATTGGGGCCCCCGGGTTCTCGTAGACCGCGTGCACACATGTCGGTCGATGCTTCTAGCATCCGTTCTCGTAAGCGCTGCATCTCGGGCATCCTCCACGCAATCGATCGCACGGGGTGCTCAAACACGGCATCGCATCCGCGATGGAATTGTGCATGTATTTCGCGTATACAGTGCCGTATGCGCGCGCGTGCCTCCCGTGCCATACGCATATGTTCCGTCATACTGCGCAGTCGGGCGTTCACCGTCGCACAGCCGCCACACCATGTACACGGGGGACAGGCCGCCAACGCCCGGGGTCGGAACCGTTTCAGCTCACTGGTGATCTTACGTTGCCGTTCGGTCGGACAGATCGTAGCCCGTCAGTAAATCATAACTGCGCCCCGTTCCACGGTTGGTCTCTTCGGCCCCCTTCAATATTCGAGGTAGGGAAAACAATTCCGAAACCCGCCACTGTACTTTCTCATGAGAAACACCTAGAGCTGCCCGAAGATGTTCTTGTAACTGACGTCGGATTTTGCGTTTCAGTACCGAGGTCCCGGGCTCCTCAAAGATCGCCATGGTCCGGGGGTCACCTGGTTCGTCTTCTCCTCCTTGTTCGCCTCCTTCGAGATCTCCTCCTCCGCGCCCTCCGCGGCCTTTTCCTTCTCCTCCTCCACCGGGCCCGTCGAACTCTCAAGCTCCGTTGTGAGCTCCTTCGGCGACTGCAATTCGTTCTTGGCCGTCACCGTGCAGACATCCGTGATGCCTGCGACCACTGGCATGATATAGTTGCCAGACTCCGTCTCCTCGAGGTCCACCGTGGCCCCCAAGGCGTCGAACGAAATTTGATTCGTCGTGAAATCCATGCGGCCCTGGAGGGCCTTCAGCAGCGGCTTGCTCGGCAGGAGCGGAACGTCTCCGCGTGCCACCGCGGCCGCGATGCAGCCCTGCGCCTGGCCGATCTCGACGGGGATCTTGACCGCCAGACGCGACTCCTCGCGCCTGCTGTTCCCGAACCTGAACACGTTCATCTCCTCATAGGACTCCACTCGCTGGCCTCTCGACTCCAACAGGGACTACAGCTTCGCCAGCGGGCTCTCCCCGGGAATCCCCCGCCCGGCTCCGCCACGGCACGACGAGCCCGCAGTTGCTGCAGCGCGGTGGCAAGGCTGGCGTCGCGCGCTCCGGCTCCTTCCAGGACCGCGAACGCTGCCCCCGCCGCCGCCGTCGACTGCTTGCCACGCTTGCCGAAACCCTTGCCCTTCTTCTTCGGGCACTCGCGAGACCAGTGACCGATCTGCTTGCAGGCATGGCACCGTGTCTTCCGATTGGCCTCCTCGAGCTCGCGGCGGAAGGTGATCTGCAGCTTGTCTGCCTCCTGGAAGTTTCGCGTCTTGCGAGCATCGTTGATATCCTGGCGTTTTTCCTGCCACGTGGCCGCCAGCACTTCGACCAACTCAGCCTCTTCGAATACTTCCTCGGGCGCTGCTGCCTCCAGGGAACCCTCGGCCAGGAGCGCGCCAACGTCCGCGAAGTCATCCTCCTGGACCGTCTCCGGCTCGTACTGCCACGGCCGTGGGGAGGGAGGAAAGCCATCTTCATCATCCTCTGCTTGGTCAGCCAGGATCGCGCCTGCCTCGACGCGTCGCAGCTTCGGCACCTTGTAAGTGGGAAACACTAGCTCTGGTCGCCACCTCCATGTCATCCGCCGTGTACTTCGCCGCCTTCGCCTTCACGATGGCTCGCTGGTCGGGTGTGAACCCGCGCCGGCGCAGCAGGATCCAAGCCTGTGCCTCCGTCGGGAACTGCACGTTGGCTTTGACGCCGCACTTCTGGAACACCTCCTTGGCCCTGCCCAGCCAGGCCGCGATGGGTTCTCCTCCCCGTCCCTGAAGTCCCAACACCGCCTCCAAGTGCTCGCCTAGGTTATCTTCCTGTTCTTTCGCAGGCCAGCGCTTCAACAAGAGGTCTAACAAAACCTGTTCACCATCCTCTACCTCATAGTCTTCAAACTCGAGGTGGTCCACAATCTCCAGCGCTGAACCCTGCAGCAAGGTGTAGACAAAAGGCCCTTTCTGTGTGGACTCCAACTTGCGGCACGCCATCGCCGAGCGAACCCACTTGATCCACTTCCGCAGCTCCTGATTGCTGCCTTGTCCGCTATCTCCGTGAAAATACCAAAGCCCCTTCGGATCCGTGGACTCTGTCGTCATTCTGTGGTCTGTCGTCTGCCGGCGCCTCCCGGCAGGCACCGGGCGTCCCTCCTAGGACGCTGGAGCAACCTGCTCCGCTCGCTACCAATAGGAAAGCCACAGCTTTCCCCTGGCCGACCACATGATGTGCAGAGAAAGAAACATGCAAGGTTTCGTCTCGTGCCCCGCACTACGAACGATCCCTGATCCAAACAGCAGCGGGGAGAGAACGCATATGAGCAAGGTAAGACATGGTTGCTACAATGCACTGGTCTGTGGCTCACTGTGACAAAAACATCCTCCTCCTCCTTTCCCCCCATCCCTCCTCCTATCCCTCCTCCTATTCCTCCTCCCCCTCCTCCTCCTCCTCCTCCTCCTCCTCCTACACCTCCTCCTCCTCCTCCTCCTCACGCTGATGCAGGTCACTCGTCCTCTCCTGTTCACAGAGACGCCGAGAGGACCCATGAGCATTCCAGGGGCAACGTCGTGGCATGAGCAAGGTGGAGGACACAAGCTGCAATCAGCCATGGATTGAGAGATCATCGGTCGCGACTGTACGTTGGGTTCGCGCGGCGTCGGCGCGCGCAAAAGTTTTTGACACTGCGTCGATCGTCAACCTTGAATTGATCGCGGCCCCGATCGTTCAACAATGAATTCCGTCGGGCCCTGTGGCGTTACCGTGCCCCTCAGCGCTTCTGCGTCGTTCTATCATGTGAAATTCAACCTTGAACGCCTTCGCCGGCGTCGCCGGAGCGCCATCGCCGCAGGAACCTATACCCGACATGCCCCCCCCGAAGTTTTCCAAGCCTTCCCCGAAGACGCAGAAAACTTCTCAGAAGGCACGCGGGCCCCTGAGAAGCCCCGTCGCCTTCCGAGAAGGCTTTCTCCTTCTCACTTCCCCCCCAGGCGCGCAGATGAATGTCAATCAAAATCGGTCCCCGAACTTCTCCCAAGGTGCATCCGACGCGGTTTTTAACCCCAGATCGAGTTTCGGGTGTCCCGGGGCCCGAAAACGGCCCCCAGAGGCCGAAAACGATGAAAAATCGCCTCGAACCTCGAAACTCGAACCTCCTTCTCACTTCCCCCCCTCGCCCGCCGCCGCATGCTACAACCAGCCACGCATTGAGAGTTCATCGGTCGCGTATGTATCCCGCCTGCCGCCCCCCCCCCCCCCCAAAGCGCACCGATGCCTGGGCGGCGGCCCGCGACCGCGTGCTGACGGCGGACGCCTGGCCCCGCACCGGCGGCTCGCTCCCGCTGCTCCCTTGAGCGCCGCAGACGCACTCGTACAGTAGGGGCCCGACCACAAGAAGCCTTCCACAAGAAACCCAACCCTGAGACCCAAGGGCACCCATGGATTTTTGGCGTGGGAGCGTCGCGCTTTCCATCGCGAAACCATCGATACCCAAGAAACCCAGGGCACCCTGGAGGCAAGCAGGGTGTTTCTTGACACGGGTCTCCACTGTACGCCGCAGCGCGGCAGAGGCAGTCCGCACGCGCGATCGGGCGGTCCGGGCAGCGGAGAGCGCAACTTCACTGGCGGCAGGAGGAGGAGGAGGAGAAGGAGGGGGAGGAGGGGGAGGGGGAAGAGGAGGAGGAGGAGGAGGAGGAGGAGGAGGGAACGACGGGCGAAAGCGGCCGCCGGCTGGCGACGCACACGGCTGGATGTGCCCAGGCCGGAATTGCAAAGCCAAGGGAAGCCTCCGCGACATCCTGCGCCCCCAGATATGGCGTCCAGCAGCCTTCCGCTCGGGGGTTGCCAAAATGGCGCGTACGGGCCCAAGGTTTCCTCCCTCCTCCTCCTCCGCCTCCTCCTCCTCCTCCTGCTCCTCCTCCTCCTCCGCCTTCTCCTCCTCCTCCTCCTCCTCCTCCTTCTCTTCCTCTTCGTCCTCTTCCTCTTCGTCCTCCTCCTCCTCCTCCTCGTCGTCGTCCTCCTCCTCTTCCTCATCCTCTTCCTCTTCATCTTCCTCCTCCTCCTCCTCCTCCTTCTCCTCCTTCTCCTCCTCCCCCAACCTTTCGCTCCATGCTGGAGCCCCCTGGGGCCCTCTGGTCCTCGCGATGGGGTGCTCCGGAGGCAGGAGGGGCCTCCGTGGAAATTCTGGGGGCACCTCGGGCCAAGGGAGCACCCCTGGCAGCACCCGGCCAGGTTGCAACTCGCAGAAGCCATGGGAAGCCTCCGCGACATCTGCGCCCCTGGACAGCGCCTCCTCTTCCTCCTCCTCCTCCTCAAGCGTCCAGTGCTGGCGCGGCCGCAAGAAACCCTCGCAAGAAACCCAGCCCTGAAAACCCGCGCGCGAGGTACATCCGAAGGGAAGCCCGGAGCACCCTGAACGCAGCAGCTTCTCCAACGGCTGCGAGGATTCACCGCGCCGCGCGCGGAGCGAAGGGAACCAGGATACCCAGACGAAAAGCAGATGGTCTCTTGAAGCGCGCCCTCACTGTAGCCTTCCATTCGTGCCTGGTCGCGTCCTTCGGGGGTTTGTGGTCTGGCTCAACGTCAGCGGCGCGCGGGCACGAGCAGCTCGCCACCGTTCGGACGTCCATTCCGCGTGCATTTTGGGAATTCGCGCGTGCATTTCTCGCAAGATGATCCAATATGCTTCTCGATGGCACTCGCCGAGGGAAAAATGCACACGTCCGAGCGATGCCAAGTGCTCAGCATCCCTCCTCCTGCCCACGCGCCTTCCTCCTGCTCACTACCTCCCCTGCTCCTGCGCCGGCTGCTCGTCCTGCCCCGTTTCTACTGCTCTTGCCCCTGCTGCTGCTCCTCCTCCCCTCGCAAGAGGAGCAAAAACGGCATAGACATGCACAAATATAAACATTTTGACGCTCCGCGCGGATTTCTTGGGGATCCGCGCTGGACGCCGCACCCCAGCGCGCGGAGCGCGCCAGGGGCGGCGCCGGAGGGGCCGCCGGGGGGGGCCCGGCGCGGATCCAAGAAATCCGCGCGGAGCGACAAAATGTTTATATTTGTGCATGTCTATGCCGTTTTTGCTCCTCTTGCGAGGGGAGGAGGAGCAGCGGCAGGGGCAAGAACAGGAGAAACGGGGCAGGACGAGCAGCCAGCGCAGGAGCAGGGGAGGTAGTGAGCAGGAGGAAGGCACCCTTTTTTCGTTTTCGACTTGCCTCACCGATCCCTCGCCTCTTCGGCCCTTCGTTCGCAGGACACCGCACTTCGCGTGCAGTCGACCCGTTATCATGAGGATGCGCGATAAGGATGCAAGGGCCTCGGAGGGCCACGCTGGCGCTTTGCGAACGAGGTTGGCCAGCGAGAGTCGCCAAGGATGGGCCGAAGGTGCAAGGATGCAAGGCTACCCTTGGGAAGGTCGCCCATCCTTACTTATCCATCGGTCGGAAGAAGTAGGTAGAAACATGAAGTAGGAAGGCGTTGGAAGTAGATTGGGCTTCCGCCCGCCTCCTAGAGTGAAAACCACTCGACTCTTGGAGTAGGAAGGCGCTTGAAGCAGACTGGAATCTGGGAATCCTAGAATACCCACTTTCAACGACCGACGGGTACCATGCCAGTTGAATGCGGCCACGTGCACGCCTAGAGCGCGGCCGTGGGTGCCGCCCCCGTGGAGGGGGGGCAAACCGCGCGGGGGCCCAGACCGCGCCCGCGCGATTCCGTGCGACTCCCTGCGCGGCCCCCCACGGGCGACCTAGCGCTCCTACCCCTCTCGCTCCAGCCCCTTCCCTCTTCTCCTGCTCCTGCTCCTCCTCCTCCTCCTCCTCCTCCTCCTCGTCCTCTTTTTCCTCCTCCTCCTCCTCCTCCTCCTCCTCCTCCTCCTTCTCCTTCTCTTTTTCCTCCTCCTCCTCCTCATCCTTCTCCTCCACTTGGAAAAGCTGGTATTTGAAACCGGAGCGGTTCAGCAATTCGTTTATCGGAGCATTGGGAACACCACTCTCAAACGTCCGCAATGTGTTGATGAGATGTGCTGGCTTGGCGCCATTCCGGCGCGGTAGGCATGTCGAGGCGTGGTAGAATACGAAGTGCTGCCTGGTAGGGTTTCAGCCATCTGTTAATGCCCCCCCTCCCAATAGCTGGGGGGGGCGTGCACCTCTCCCTACCGAGTCTCGCTGGGCAGCCCGACGCTCCACAGGTCATTGCACCGGCCTTGCAGACGTGTTGCAAAGGATTTCTGCGTGGATTTCTGCGTAGATTTTTGCCCGAAGCGGCGAGCGAAAAACGAAGTGAATTTCGCGTGGATTTTCTTTGGTCTTCATTCCTGACCCCAAGAAATCCGCACGAAATTCACATCGACATCGGGAGCGGAATTCTCCAAGACACTCCGGGCCCACCCCATCGTTTTCCGAACGAAATCCGCTCTGCGATATTGGCGCCATGACACTGGTGTTAGGTCGGGCATGTCCCCCGACAGGCAGATTTTGGACAAATGAAAAACGATCAAACAATGCCCCAAACTGATCGAACAAATAATCCACAAATCGTCCCCAGACTTTCTTGTTTTACTATTTTTGCATTTTCCTCCTGTCGGAGGAGCGACAGGCCCGACGTAACACTCGTGCTCTCCTAGGCGTCCCGCGCGGCCCGCGGTCGAGGCTTCCCGCGCGGCCGAGGCAGGCCGAGGCAGGCCCTCCGGGCCGCCGAGAGGGCCTGCGGTGCCTCCAAGGCAGCCCGACGCCGCGCCGAGACGGCGTCGGAACGGCCTGCCAAGGCCCCCGGGACGGCTCGAGAGTTGGGTCGGGCCTGTCCCTCCCTCTACAGGAGGGATGTTCAAAAACAGTTCCAAAAAATATGGGGGCGGATTTTCGAATATTTTCTGACAATTTCTGGGCATTTTTTCGTTCGAGATCCGCCTGTAGAGGGCCCCCCCCCAAAAGGGCCCGACTAGGGCCAGAATTCGTCGCAACGGCGGGGGCTTCACTGTAGGCGTTTTGGCCCAGAGCGCTAAAGCGACGAGGCCAGACCGAGATTAGCTGAACTCCTCGGGGGCCAATGCCACGTTGAAAACATCGTCTCATCTGATCGAGTTAGGTCAGGCCTGTCCCTCTACAGGAGGGAAATTCAAACATAGTCCAAGAATAGTATGGGGGCGATTTTTCCAATATTTGTTGGCCATTTCTGGGCATTTTTTCAAATTTTACGTTTTTCATTTAAAATCCGCCTGTAGAGGGATATACCCGACCCAACTCAAGAGGGCCCCCCGCAAAGGGCCCGAGTAGGTGAACACCATTGGCTTCCTGTAGGTGCCCGAAAAGAACCGCGTTCTCGCCTATGCAATCTCCCGTCAGCCCAGGAGGGCCCAAGAGGCCTTCAAGCTGGCCCGAGGGGCCTCCAGGACGGCCCATGAGACACGCAAGGCGACACTTTTGGGTCCCGAGAGGACTACAAGGCGACCGGGAGGAGCCCCAGCGGCGGACTCCGAACGCGCCAGACTGCCAATCAGCACACTAAGATGCCAAGACGGCTCCAATGAGAGGCGGAGTGAAGAGGAGGGAGGAGTATGGAGGAGTGATGACAACGAACACGAGAAGACGCACCCCGACGCGATGCGGAAGAGCTCTCGTCCGGGAGCGGGAGACAAGGTGCCGCACGCTGTACGGCTTGCTATGCGCTCCCCGAACATGCGCCACCCAAAGAGGGCTGGAACGGTGGCGGGTGATGCCGCGGGAAACAGGATGCCAGACGCTGAAATGAGGGACTTATCCCTCCTCTCCCCTGCTCCTCCTGCTCCTCCTCCTCCTCTTCCTCCCCTTCCTCCTCCTCCCCCTCCTCTTCCTCCTCTTCTTCCTCTATTCGTTTTCATTATGCAAATTTCTCCCTGTCGCACCCCCAGACGCGTCGGTATGTAGGGCGGACCGGGCGTTTCGCCTGAGACTTCCTCACCATTTCTGATCCTGAAGATTGAGAGTTGCAACAGCGTCAAGGATGGGGGGAGCTTCCAGTTCAAAATGTGGCTCTCGCCTTGGCGCCGCGTACACGTTTAGACTCGCGACAGTTTTAAATCTGGAGGACGGGTGGTTTTCATAATGTGGCTCTCGCCTAATTACGCTCCGCGCACACTCGTCTAAAAAGTTGGCAACAGTTCGGAGGATGGAGGGATGTTTCTTTTCAACATGTGGTTCTGGCCTTAGCACCGCGCACATGCATCTTAAAACTTTGCACATGTTTCAATGATCCGTAGGGCTACAATCCCAGGAATGCTGTCCAGGCATGATCTAGGAGTATCAGGATGCAGCAGTCACGTTCATTCGCGGTGTTTGAAGTCCCAGGACTGGCGTCCTGGAGCGATTTAGCACCTTCAAGACGCAACAGTCACGTTGATTCGCGGCGTTGAAGTCCCAACAACTGCGCTTTGGTGCGATTGAAGGAAGATTCTCAAACGGTTGTCTTTCAATGAAGCACTTCCCACAATGAACATGAATTCCTGTGAGTGACCCATGGAGAGGGAGCGTGGAGGGAGGGCTTATTGCAACACAGCGTTGATGCCTCTAGGGTTTGCAGTAGTCCTCCTCCTCCTCCAACTCCTGTTTCTCCTCCTCCTCCTCCTCCCAGTGCAGCGTCCCGTGCCCGACCAGGGTGCCGCTCACCACGAAGAGAGCGGGGCCAAGCATCTTGCCCTTGGCGGAAGCGCTGCAGGGGCAGAGGGCGACGTGGAGAAGCCAGCTCGGTGGAGAATTTCGGCAGGGGGAGGGCGACGAGGAGCATCGAGATCTCTAGACGTCTGTGGCCCCTCTTGGGCCGCCGGAGGCCGCTGGCGGCAGGGGACAGGAAGGCGCCTGAGCGTTTAAGGCGACAAACAGAATCACTGCGCTTCTGCCACCCTTTGGGGCGTCGAGCCCCCCACAGAGATCACACACCCACAGAGATCACACACTGCGTGCGGGTTGAGGTGATCTGGTCGTACTTTGTTCTCGCAATGTCGTCTCTTCCCCTCCCCCCCCCTCATCGGGCTGGGTCTTCTGCTGCTGGCTTCGCGTTCAATCAGCACTTCTCAGCACCCCCGCCGTCGCACGGCACGGAAACAACAAAAACACGCTGATCTGTCCGCCCCCCGCGTGTCCTGGCGTCCCCGCCCCAGGGGTGATCCAGGACTCGCCGAGAATCCCGCCCCACACGCCCCGAGCTGAACACACAAAAAAACGCGAGGCCCCCCGAGGAGCTTCCGGCGGCCCCCCGAGAGGCCCGAGGCCTCCGAGGGTGCTTGGACGGCCCCAGGGTGCTGCTACCGAGCCCCTCTGGGAGCACTCGCCAGGACCATCACGCATACATGTCGCTGGCAGGGCACGATGGCGGGGTCTGCATCATGCGGCTGGATGCTCCACGGCGTCTGCCGCCGGGAAGGGACACCGGTGCGGCACGGGCGTGGCTCTGGGAGGGACCGTCGCTGGCCACGCTCGCCTCGGAGCGCGCGCGGCACTCCTGCCCGCGCGGGGCCGGCACGGAAGAATCACCGGCTGTGCCTGCGCCCTGCTGCCATCGCTCGAGCTCGCAAGCCGCCTGCCGATGGGCTCGAGCCTCCGATCGGGATGGGAGCGGCCGGATTCTTCGCAGTCCCTCACACTCCGCCACCATGCCTCTCGCACGAAGTGGAGTGCCCCAAGGCTCACCGCTGTACTGCTGCTGCAGCCAGGATAGGATTGTGCCCCACAGCTGTGCTGCTGCTGCAGCAGTCAACATGTTAGTGTCTGAACGGTCTGGACTACCAATTGCCCTGGCGTCCTTGGCGCTCCCGCGGTGTTCCGCATGACCTCTGGGACGAGTGCAACTCTCCAAACGACACGCAGGCTTTCGCAGAGCTCCCCACCGAGCGCCCAAGACGGTCCAGGAGCGCCTGTAGACGGCCCAAGATGGCCCCCCAACGGCCCAAGAGGCCTCCAAGACGCTCCAAGAGGCCTCCAAGAGGCCTCCCGAGAAGAGGCGAAAGGTTTTTGGGGTACTCGCGTTTTCGGCTTCCCGACGCTCCAAGACGGCCCAGGAGGCCCCCAAGACGGCCCAGGGCCCCAAAATTCTCCCAAAGGCCCCCAAGACGACCCAAGAGGCCCCCCAAAACGGCTCCCACAATGGTCCCCCAACGGACATGCCGAGCCCGCGGCCCCAAGAAGCCCCCAACGGACATGCCGAGCCCGCGGCCCCAAGAGGTCTCTGGATGGCCCTCGGATGTCCCTCGAGGTTCCCCCGAAGCCTCTGGAGAAAGCAAAGGCGTCCAAACTTACTTCTCACTGCACCGACCTTGCAGACGTGCTGCAGCGGACTTTCGCGTGGATGTCTGTCAACGCAAGACCCCGAAACGGCGAGCGAGAAAACAAAGTTAATTTCACGTAGATGTTTGGAAATCTTCACTCATGGCAACAAAAAACGCACGACATCCACTTCGAAATCCGGAACGACATTCTCCAGGACAATCTGGCCCGTCCCGTTGCTTTCCGAGCGAAATCCGCTCTGCGATGTTGGCGCCATGATACTTCTTCCGCCGCGGCGACGAAGACGACGAGGGTCTACAGTAGGAGCTCCACCACGAGAAACCTTCTACAAGAAACCCAACCCTGAGACCCCAGGACGTCCATCGATTTCTGGTGGGGGAGCGTCACGCTCGCCACAGCAAAACCATCGAAACCCAAGAAACCCAGGGCACCCTGGAGGCAAGCAGCGTGTTTCTTGGCATGGGCTTCCACTGCAGGCCGCCCAACTCTTGCGCCTCACGCTCCGCGATGGGCAACCACGCCCTCGCGCCGCCCCCCCGGAGGCCCCTCGAGGTCCCCCCCGAAGCCTCTGGAGGGCCCCGGGAATGGCGCCCAAAGCGAAGGCGCCCGAGCTTTCCTTCTTCCGCCGCGACGACGACGACGACGACGCGAGGGGTTGGCGCCGACGGCTTAGGCCACCCAACTCTCGCGCCTCGCGCCCAACGAGGGGCGACGCGTGAGGAGGAGGAGGGGGAGGAGGAGGGGGAGGAGGAGGGGGAGGAGGGGGAGGGGGAGGGGGAGGGGGAGGGGAGTGGGGAGGAGGAGGAGAGGAGGAGGGAGGAGGAGGAGGAGGAGAGGAGGAGGAGGAGGAGGAGGAGGAGGAGGAGGAGGAGGAGGAGGAGAAGGAGGAGGAGGAGGAGGAGGGGAGGAGGAGGAGGAGGTGGAGGAGGAGGAGGGAGGAGGAGGAGGGGGAGGAGGAGGAGGAGGAGAGAGGAGGAGGAGGAGGAGGAGGAGGAGGAGGAGGAGGAGGAGGAGGAGGAGGAGGAGGAGGAGGAGAGGAGAGGAGGAGGAGGAGGAGGAGGAGGAGGAGAGGAGGAGGAGGAGGAGGAGGAGGAGGAGAGGAGGAGGAGGAGGAGGAGGAGGAGGAGGAGGAGGGAGGGAGGAGGAGGAGGAGGAGGAGGAGGAGGAGAGAGGAGAACTCTCGCGCCCCGCGCCCCCCACGAGGGGCCACGCCGCCATCCTCGCCGCGCCCTCGCGCCGCAGCCCCCTTGGCGACGGGCATCCGCTCGAGGCCCAGACCGCGGCGCGGGGAGCGCCGCGCGCCTCGCGCGAGCCCCGGGGCGACCCGGGCCTGCGGACGCCACGACGGTGGACACTCAACCAGGAAGCAGAAATCAAGGAAGGGTGAGATCAAAATGATCGGAGATGGAGGAGGAGGAGGAGGAGGAGGAGGAGGAGGAGGAGGCGGAGACCAGGAGGAGCAGAAGGAGCAGGAGGAGGTGACTGGGTAAAATGGAAGATTGGGCGGGCCAACGACAAAAAACAACACGCTCCTGCCATCGGCCCAGACGAAGAATGACATAGACGAAGAATCAATTTCGATTTCAGACCCGGCCCAGGCCCAGGCCGGCCCACTCCATTGATTAAAGCTTCCCGCTAACAGTCCGATCATTCAACTGAACATGTGTTTGTGAACGCTCTCTTATTCGGCGTTTCGGCATTGTGCGGGAGGGGGGGAGGGCGGGGGTCTGGCTCCAGACCTCTGCTTAATGCGACTGTTTGCAGCAGTGCGTCCTGTGGGAAAGTGACCCCGCCTTCTCGAAACAGGCGCCACAAACAGCCAAGAGCTACTCCATGGGGGGAAAGGGACGGGGAAGAGGGCCCAAGCCGATCGGCGAAACAAATGAATCAAATTATCCCAGTGCGACCCTACCTAGGAGTTGGAGCCCCTAGGAAAGCAGCATTAGTAGTAACAGTAAAGCTAAGCTAAAGCTAAGCTAAAGCTAAGCTAAAGCTAAGCTAAATCTAAGCTAAAGCTAAGCTAAGCTAAGCTAAGCTAAGCTACAGCTAAGCGAAGCTAAGATGAAGCTAAGCTAAGCTAAGCTAAGCTGAGATACGCGAAACTAAGGTAAGGGGGCGCAACTGGGGGAACCGTGGGGCGGGGACCGGGGGAACCGACCGGGGCGAAGCCCACTGCCCAGCCCCTTTAAGCTAATAAAGTAAGAACCCTCTAGGCAGAGCCTAGATAGGGAAAAACAATCACATGTTCAACACGTGTTTACAACGTGCTGTTTAGACTTCCATAAATGGTTTGGCAACATGCCTCCTCTCCCGTGCTCGTCTTCCACAAACCCAGATTCGCGTCACGTCGCTTTGCGATCGTTCTCGCCTCGCCTCACCTCGCCTCCAACGACAGGCTTAGGTTGGGCATGTCCCCCTACAGGCGGACTTTGGAGGACAAATTAAATGTATATGTAAATATAGATGCGACCAATAATTTAAAACATACTTTTTAAACTAATTAGAAATGATGGAAACATCGTCCCCCGACTATTGTTTGACTATTTTTGAATATTCCTCCTGTAGAGGGACAGGCCCGACTTAACGACAGGCCGGCACGGACCCGGCTGCCCGGCGGGAGGGCAGGCGCACCGCGCTGGGGGGACCGTGCAGCCGCGACGGCGGCCCGTCGAGCCCGGGGGCGAGCCGAGCAGGCGCAGGGGCAGACACGCCGCATGTCATCGCTCGGACGCCCACTCCCCGTGCATTTGTGCTGGCTTAGTGCGCCGGTTTGGTCGAAAACATGGCCCGCGCGTCCCGCTACTTGCAAAGTAACTGCTCGCAAATAGCCTGGATCCGCCGCGGGGGATCTGCGACAAAGTACATCGAAGCAGACATGTGCTTTTCGGACTTTTGCGAGTAGGCACTTTGCGAGTAGTGGAGCGCGCTCGTTGAAAGATGCTCCTCGATGGCCCCCGCCGAAACAAAAACGCACACGTCCCAGCTGCCATCGCTCGGACGTCCATTCCCCGTGCATCTCTTTTGGCATCGTGCGATAATATGATCGAAGAGTGGCACATAAGATGCTCCTCGAAGGCCCCCGCCAAGAAAACAAATGCACACGTCCGAGCTGCCATGGCCCCGACGTCCATTCCCCGTGCATCTTTTCGCTTCGGGCGTCGATCGGATCGAAGAGTGGCCCAAGAGATGCTCCTCGATGGCCCCCGCCGAGGAGGACGAGAAGGAGAAGGAGAAGGAGGAGGAGGAGGAGGAGAAGGAATAGGAGGAGAAGGAATAGGAGGAGGAGGAGGAGGAGAAGGAGGAAGGAGGAGGAGGAGGAGGAGGAGGAGGAGGGGGAGGGAGGAGGGGGGGGAGAGGAGGAGGAGGAGGAGGGGAGGAGGAGGAGGAGGAGGAGGCGAGGAGGAGGAGGAGGAGGA